TACAGCAGGTTTCATACCAGGTGACAGAGGCTAGAAAAGGGTGTACCCTGCCATAATGCCTATAGGCTTTAAATGTTGTAAGTATGGTTGGTGATTAAAACAGTATCATGTATAATGACATACCTTACCTGAGAGACTTACTAAAAATCTAAAGTTGGCTGTTATAAAAATTAAGCCTAGTAAGTCCAGAAGATTCTCAATAAGTAGAGGGAGAATAAATAATAGAACATTTCTAAGAGATGAAGAATCATTTACATTAATTAGGACAAAGTCAGTAAAGAGTTTAGGTTGGTGGTATCGGGCAGACTTGATAGAGTGATAAAGAGCAAGTAGCACAGTTTTGGAAAGATTTTGCTGATTGCTGGATAGAATAGCTATATCAGGGCTTCCAGGAAAGTTGAAGCTGTTGTTTGAATGGTTTCAGAGGTTGATGTGATCATTGTCCGTCTGGCTCAGGCTAAGCAGGTACAGTACTCAAATTGGGAAGGTGTTGAGAAGAAAAAGTTAAGTTATAAAGAAATGTGGAGCATGGAGGAAAGTAGGATTAGATTTGTGATAGGTGCAACATATGATATATTGCCAACTCCCCAGAACCTGAAGATCTGAGTAAATGGAGTGCCGCATAGTTTGTAATGTTGAGGTACTGCACCTCTGACCCATATTAAGTCAGGTTGTTAGGTTAGACTGTGACTAGGCTGATATACAAGGAGAAATAACCAAGTATTAAGAGGTTTAGCTGCAGGTATTGAAGACAAAGCAAAAGCAGGTTAATTTAGGAGGGTCTAAGTTAAAAAGTAAGTGCAGGTGGCTGTAGGAGGAAAGTCTGTTGTTTCCCGAGAAATAACCTCTACAAGTCTAAGACTGGATATAGTCTGGTGATTTGGTGGTAAAAAGATTTTATAGATCTCTTTGCTCCAGTAGAAGAAGCATATGGAAGAAAAAAGTTTAGGTATGTAGAATTAGGGGCAGAAGCACACCAGGGAGGTTGGAAAATTAGGATTGGTTTCAGGTCACCACCTTGACGTTTCAGGTCAACTCACTCCTGAGTTGGTTTTGCTGAGTCTATTAGTATGTCTTGTACTGTCTCTACCTCCTGCACCCTCTATACTGTAATTACACCTACCAGAATCAGGGTTTGAATCCCTTCTTTTTATATGAAAATACCAAAAGTAAAAGTCTGAGCAATTATTTTAGCTGTAATTAGATGTATGATGAGCTCCCACAGAGAAAGTTAGAAACAACAAAATACCGTGAGCATTTTTTCTTACACACTGAATTTGTAAAATAATTCAGTTAATAATTTGTTCTCTTTCCTGTAATTGGAAACTGGAACAAGTTAGAAAGCCTAAATTAATCAACCTCAGACTGAGACTCTAAAGCATTTTTTATTTATTGCTCTATATTAATCCATGTCTATGACCAAGACACAACCAATGAAAAACATGTTTTCAGTATATGAATAATCATGGAAAAAGCTGCATGAACATATTTATTTTAACAGATCAAATTGCAACCTGTATAGTCCTTAAGAAGACAAGATAGATATAGGTACTAATAATGTACAATGCCACTGTAACTTAATGTAAAAGAAAAAAAAATAAGTTTTTCTTTTTTCAGATGTAAACTAAAGGTTTCATGAAAAGTTCATTCATCCCTTGTCCACTTTATCAGATAATTATTTTCAGCATTATGACTGTCCCTATCAGTAAGCCTTTCACATTATTATCCTTAAAATGATCGTGGGTATTTACCTTAGATAGTAATGGGTCTGCTGTAGTGCAGCTGGTTCTGAATTATGGCCTCACAGTGGCTGTATTTTACCTATATACTGTATAATTTACCTTTTCCAATATTGGCAAAACATAGGAAGCAGGGGTCAGCTGACAGCATGAGCACTCAATGTAATTGTTAGGCTACAGCTCTGTTTTTGAATGTCAACAGTGTTATCATGGTCAGTGTTTAGCAGTAGCGGACCATGCATTTCACACCTAGGCCTTCAGTAGTGCTCCGTCTGAATCAATACACCCCTCAATAACAATTTGATGGTTATAGAAATCATCTTATTATGTAGAAATACAGTAGGGATGTCCTGATCCAGCATTTTGTATTAAAGTTGAAAATTATTTTTCTACTTACTTAGTTGTCAGACTCACGTTGAACAGGGATTTACTCTTATAACAACTAAAGTTTACACAGACCTGTGGGTTAGGACATGCTAATGCCAATGCTAATGCTCGGGTGGGATCGAACTTTTTTAAAATATGGATCCGGAGTCTGGATCGACATTTTCTCGTGCCAGCCGATACGATCCAAATATCGGATCGGGACAAGCCTAAAATACAGTGTAAAGATCAGGGGTGCACAACCCCCCCCCCCCCAAAAAAAAAAAAAAAAACAAAAATATCTTCATAAACTCGCAATACTATTTAGGAAAAAAACAACATTTTACTCACTTACTTTTCTTGAAAAGTCCGTTTTGAAAATGGTCTTGACAGTAAATCCACCACCAAATCATAAAATAGCTATTACACCAACACAACTATATTTCGGTTTGTTTGCTTGCTTTGCCCTGATTGGATATCTGACTATCCAATCAGCGGGTGTGGATACGGTGACGTTACGTAAGGCCTTCGAGCTGGCCCTGGTGCCACCAACCTAAAATCTGATTGGTTGAAGCAACAGTGTACTCAACATGTATTTTCTGTGTGTGTGGGTCTGCAGAACGGATTGTGAAGGCCTCCTGGCAGACATCTTTGACTTTGACCCTGCCTAGCAACAAAGGATGTCTGTGATTGAAATTTGATTAGTTAAATGCTTTTATATGAACATGCATGTCTGAAAGCTATGAAAGGAAGCTGACAGACTATTTAGAGATATTTAATAAGTTTCCATGGACAAAATATAATTAACATCAGTCTGTGATTCAGATATTTTCTTAGGCCTGCAGAGAAGGCTTTGCAGGCCCTGACGGCCCACCACTGGTGTTTAGTATCCAATGATCTGATGAACATAATTGACCTTTATTCACATCTGGGTTTGTACTGATCTGTATGAATAAATTCCATACAAGCAGGAAGATAAAATATTCCTCAGGTCTGTATTTGGTCTGGATAAAATGGTTTAAAGCTCATAGCACTGACATTAAACCAGTAAAAATTAAGAAATCTGGACCAGTTAGGTGAAGAGCATGGTGTAAATTATGTGAGCTGAGCTTCAGCTCATCTCCAATCTTGAACCACATCTTTTAAGCCAGGCTATGTTGGGAGATAAAGTCAAGCAGACAGACCATGGTACCGTGCATTTCTGTGTTCATGCGTACATGTGTGTAAAAGTATGTGCATGTGATGACACATGGTATGTCAGTGCCTCTCTTGTATTATATGGAGAGAACCTGTAATAGTGTCTAATGGTACTCTCCCGGTGCCCCCCTTTTGTGTGCTGCCAAATAAAGTCATGTGCTCCACTGCGTATATGCGTACATCATACAGTACACTTTAGTGCATATAAGCACATAAAAGCAAGGCCTGACACAGGCACGCACACACACACATAGATTCACACTGGGGTCTAAAAGGAGGCAGTTGAATGCTTTAACACTAGAAGTCCCAGAGATTTTCAGTTTTCCTGCAAGCCCCCCTCCCCTCTGCAAATTTGTGTATTCACTCTGCCTCGCTAACTGTCCCTGTTGTAATGCAAATAACCTGTGATGACCAGCCTTTCTACATGAGACTGGATAAAGGCTGAAACAAACTGGCATCAAGACCATGTTCCAAGCACTTTTCAGTACCTGGCCCTGCAACATCATACCTTTTTGCAGGAATATATTTATAAGTCATATCTAAATCTTTTATTTAGGCAAACCTATTGAACAACCAGATATCATACGGGTCCTAGTTCTTGAGCTGAAAAAGGTCATAATCATGCTTTTCCAACAAGGCCATGCAGAGCCTATTTCTATTGTCCATTCACCAACAGACTCATTCATATTGCAAAGCTCACTATATGAAAGAAAGAATAATTGTAATTTGTCTTGTCTTGCCTTTTTATGTCATTCAAAATTTAATCTCAGAGAATGACAAACAGTATGCCTTTAGTATTGGAGTAACATTTATGTCACACAAGGAACAGCCCTAGTCTCTTCATCTCACAATGCTGTCTCATGTGTTCTTCCTTTATTGCCTTTTCTTGCATAACAATGTTACAAAGTTCATTTGCAAGTAGCAGAATTAACTTTGGTGGACTCTTTTTGGTCCCTGTGCACGGCTTGTACAACACATGCTCGTCTGTTGCAGCCAAGCTTGTACGCCAAGCCAAGCCAAGCTTGAAATCTCAATAACTCTGAGTCGATTTGTTGGGCCTATTTATTCTGGGAGCTAGACTTCCCACTTTACATTTCCCCCTGCCACCAGATTGGAATTTGAGCTGGAAGCCGGTTTCCAGCGCAAAACCGGCTTTCTGCTGGAAATCGCGAGCGGATGATGTTTGCTTGTTTGCCCTCTAGTAAATATGGTCATTGTTGTATAAATATTCTTGTCAGCTGATGGAGATATTTTCATTGTACAGATCAGTTATCGTCTGATCACTGCGCTGGTGGCCCCGCTGTCTGAAATCATTCCGGTGTTGGCGACACTGATGACGTAGACCTAGTTATATTTTATTACAAATATGATTTCCGCCCCCCTTACCCCCCACCCCCGCTTTCAGGTAAAACACTCCTCAACAGAGAGGCTTGAACTAAAACCAAAACTGAAGGGGGTGGAATGGTTCTCCAACGACAGCGCCAATGGGGCATTGACATCTGAAAAGGGATTCCTGAGTTGTGAAGTACTGTTGTGGGGACTGGAGTCAAATTCCACCCCAAACAGCTCAATTTTTAAAAACAACAGACAGAAGGTATAACTTCAGAAAGTTTTTTTTTAATTTCAGATAAAGAAAAGCAGTCTACATATGGATAAAGCACTAAATATAAAGTGGAAAAATGTTAAATACAATTGTCCCATCTAGCAGTTTCCACATTCCCATGGAGAGCCTTTCCTACATTTGCCACAGGTAAATTTTCCGCAATGGACACAACGTTCAGTAATTTTGTTCTTATTGCAGAGTATGCGCGCCTGGCATTGAGTCTTTTTGTGCTGGGAAACTCTCATCTCACGACGTAGCTGTTTTTGCTCTTCCTCTTGTGTCTTTTCCTGTAGGAGCCTGTTTTTGAGTTCCTCTGAAAGCTCCAGCATGAACAGTCGACGACTGTCTTTGGATCCTTTACACGCTGTGTACAAAACATGTGCATTTGTGGCGGCCATGTCAAGCAGGTTATAAAACACAGCCATGGGCCACCTCCGTGTTCCTGCACGCACAGAGTAGTTGCGCAGTTTCTGGTCCATAATATCAACACCACATTTGAGATGGTTGTAATCAACCACAGTGTTTGGTTTTTGTTTTTGAATGTCCACAATTTCCACTTTGTGATGCATGGTACTCAGAAGGCAGACAGATTTCTTTTTTTTTTGTCGCATACACCGTCAGCAAGGCACTTCCAGATTTGAACACCTGTGTGAAGTGCAACTGGTGTCCCGAGGTTTCCTTTGCAGTTGCTGGTAGCTCCTGACGAATTTTGTTGATGGTGCCAAGCAGAGTTGTATTTCGCTGAAGGAGCCGGTTAGCCAAAGACAGAGAGGTGAAGAAATTGTCCATAGCTACAGTCCTTCCCTTGTTCAAAAATGGTTCCATCAATTTCAGAATAACGTTCTCTGACAACCTCTCTCCTTTTGGACGAGTTGGATCTTTTCCCAAGTAAGGGATGGCATTACACATGTATTTTGTGTCCAGATCTGCTGCAATCCAAAACTTGATTCCAAACTTGTCAGGCTTGGATGCAATGTACTGCAAAAAGGGGCACCGAACCTTGGACGGAAACAGCTGCTCATCCACAGTAACATGCTGTCCTGGACTGTAGGACGACACACAGTTCTGAACAAACCGCATACAGATATCAGAAATTTGTCATTGTGTATGCGTTCCTTGCGGGTGTCCTTGTTGTCAAAACGAAGGTACCGTCTTATTTTTAAAAAATGGTTACGAGGCATTATGGCTTTGATATCTGCGTTTCCGAATTTATAGGCCCACATGTGTCACATGGGACCAATGTAACCCATGGCAGCCCTTCGAAAAAGGATTGCGAGGAAAGCCATCAGCTCGTAGACACTCATCTGCCAGCTGGGGTTTGTTCTGTGGGCCTCGTGGACTGTGCAGTCTCTGATGGTCAGCAACATGTTCAGATCCAACAAACACAGGAAGCTGCGAAGGGGACTTGTGATGTTGCGTTTCGCAGAATCTGTTGGCCCTCCAGATCCATTGAAGGCAGTCTGTGGGGTTTCAGGAACAGAAAAGTCTCCAACTTTCCAGTGGGACCAAACAGTGCCATCTTTCGCCTTCTCTGTGGATCCAGGCATTGTGCCAACATCAGCAGTTTTTTGTTTTTTGCAAGGAGGGGGGTTGCCGCGCACTGTGTCTTCCTCTTCATCTGATGTAGCCTCAATGTTGGAACTGTCCCGCTCAATCATATAATTGACCACTTGGCCCCTGGTGCGTCTTTGGAGGGGAGTATTTGCTGGTGCAAAAGCAGTCGCATTCTCATCAGAATCATCCTCTTCACTTGAAGAATCGGTTGTGCTGTTTTCATTCTGAAATGCTAAGTCTCCAACAGATCCACCATCAGATTTGTAGTCTGACATGCTCTGAAGCATGGCTAAAGCCTCCTGAGTATTTATCCTTCTTGGTCGCCTTGGTTGTGCCATGGTGAATTCCGGGTGAATTCTGAGTCTGTGTGCTGTGCCTGCTCTATTTATCCCCACAGAAATTCTGTAAATTACTCAACTCCTTGAAAAAGCTAATTTACAACACAAAGGGAGGCAGCTCAAACAAGGAAACCCCAGCACACCAGCTGAAGTCACCAATCCACATTCCTACATTGATTTGCAAATGGGGCTCACTCCACCAGAAGAGAGCCGTTAACACCTTTGGGGGGATACTCGATACAAACTAGCTGGAGAATATATTCTCCACTCTGGGACTTCTAGTGTGCCAAGTTTATCCGGATGGCTGCAAAAAGGGGAAGTAACACTTTTTTGCCACACAAAGCTGTAAAAGATATTATTGTTTGTGTCCCACCTCTTAATAACAGTATACGAAATGGATTGATGGACATCGTTGTATATTATCTAACCGTTCTCAAGAAAATCTGTTACGAGTATAACCAAATTCAAATGAAGAAAGTCATCACAGAATATTAAAATATTTTTGGTCTTCATCTCTATTGGATACGACACAATTACTATTGTCTTTTCCAATACATCACTTTCCACTGAGAGGGACTGAAAAAAATGTAGGTCTATACATACATCATACAATCTTGAAGGTTGCTTTTTCATGTCATTCTTATTAACCAAAGAGAAATTCTCTAAACTAGCACATGCTTTAAGTCTCAAATATTTCTTTGATCAAACCACAACATTTTCTTAATTAAGGAGATATATGGCAGCCAACAGCACCAAAAAGGAAAACCAAATTTTCATTCTACTTTGTTCCTAGTTAAGGTTATGACAATTAAACATCATGTTTAAGGAGATTAAAGAAAAGGCAAGAAAAACTTTCATGTATCATCATCATTAAGCCTGACTGCAATATACTATAACTGCAACAACATGAATTTGATTAAAAGACATACCCCTATAGTGCTGTTTTAAGTCAGTTGCAATAATTCTATCATGGTAAGAAGTAGTTAAAAAACTAATTAGACTCCGCTTTACCTGTCAGTTACAGTATAGAACTAAGAGAGGCAGATTGCTTGCTGCTAGGATTCTGTTCAAAATGTCTGCCTGCTCAGCATGAGCACTATGTACAACTGGTAAAATACGGATGTTTGCTCTTCATCTGGACTGCTTAGACAAGGTCTATATCAACTTTACCTTACACAAAGTATTAAGAACACAATGGAAATTTGTTCTCAGCCTCAGCTTGTAAAGAAAATCTTCTCATTTAAACAGCTGATATGTAAAAAATGTCTGATGCAATGTGGATTCACTCGCAGGGACTTTAAAAGGCAGTATTTCTATACTCAACAATAATTATCCATTGGACAACAAAAATAAAATCACTGCTAACATCAGGGTAAATACAAACTTCTGAGAAAAAGTATTAACTAAAGATCACTGAAAAAGTGAAAAAAAGTACAAAGGGGGAAAAAAAGTACAAAGAAAAATTATTGTTTTAGAAAACAGGAAAAAGTATCGACATTAATAACTTGTAAGAAAATACGGGAATTACTGTCTGCAGATACAACAGAAAAATACCTTGATGATATCTTCTGCATAAGCCACAACAAAAAAAACACTGGAATAGTGATAAAAAAACACCACAAAATACAAAAATGATTTGAAAAGCAAAACAGGTGCGGATTTCCCAGAGAATCAAGCTTGAACAGGATGGGACAGGTGTTGGATTAGCTGCAGGCGGCAGTGGCTACACCTTCCCAGGTGCCTTTAGGAACAAAAATAAAGCTAGAAAAATCCCAAAACTAACAAAGTCTTTCAAATTATTCTTATATTAACATAACTGTATCATGGTACTCCATCTGAAATGGGTCTGAATAGACTATGTAATGTGATTAGTTCAGATGCTTTTGCTGTCAGATTAGTATTAAAAAATCATGTTCAGTGTATTGCTCTGAATTAATTTTGAAATGTATGTGAATATGGGGGAGCACCGTCACCTAACCATTAGCGGGCTTCCCAGGAGCCTTTCTGTGTGGACTTTGCATTTTCTCCCCATATCTCTAACTCTGTGTACTACAACTTGCTCCCACTGTCCAAAAACATGTATATTAGGTTAATTGAACACTCCAAATCGCCCCTAAGAGTGAATGTGAGTTTTTGTGGTTGTTTGTCTACGTGATGTGTGGCCCTGTACTACATTCCATCCCCCCTCAACCCTTGACCTAGTTGTTATGTTTGTGCTTTTTGAGCAGGACTTACTTACAGTTGCAGCAACCTGATATTGCCAGATATCCAATATAATCCTTCTTTGTTTAAAGTGCACTAAACAATAAAATCATGGAATGTTCACAGACTGTGCCAACAATTTCCCAACAAAGCCAGCAGACACATGAAAGTGCCTTTCTTTTTGTGCATAGAAGAAAGGATGTTTGTTATTACTCTGAGGCAAATGAAAAAGTCCAGTCCTAAAGACCTGAGAAGTCTTCAGGACTTTAGGAAAGTTCTAAGAAAAAAATCTCAGAAATAAGACCTTCAAGACACTCAAAAACAGTGAAGAATCTTAAAATCTGTTATGATTACCTTGTCAAGGTAAGAACCCAAGCAGTTGACTGGGGCAATAGTTTTTAAGAGTTTATAGTTAGATAGGAACATCAGAAAGTTGAGCATAAGTGTAATAGTCTCTGCACTGGCTGAATTTTTGTATTCTGGTCATTTCATTAAGATTTTAAAAACAAGATTTTGTAATATTACTTACTTCTGGCTTAAACTATGATCAGGATTAAAATGATCCCAATACTTATTATTTTTTCATGGGTGAGTAAGTAATTTATCCTCAGTCAGTCTTGGTTGAACTGTAGAAAGTTTTCTGCCTTCCATGGCAGGCCTTACGCCTGGATCATCAGGAGACAAAGCCATGTAAAGGTATGTTTCTTGATGGCACTAATAAATTACATAATCAAATCAGGTTTGACCTAAAACTGGTCTTTTAGGGACACCGGAATTTGATTTTTGAGTTTTGGATGATTGATCTTCCTATGAACCTATAAAACACATTTATAAAGATATGATACAAGCCATCTTAGGACTGAACCAAATCAAACACAATAAGGGCTGTTATTCCCCCATTAAATTACTAATGTGATGCGTCACTTAAAAATTCAGTACACCCAGAGAACAAGCACTGAGTGTTTTTTGCTCTAAAAATGGTTTGTTCTGTTAAGTTGAGGTCAATATATTGATAAGGCAGACATCTTTAGCAGTCGTCATCAAATTCCTTTTGCTGTGGACGGGTCTAACACCTGGGGGACTGTTTGGGAGACTGTGTCATTGACACTAAACCATATTCAGCTTTGTTCTAACTTTTGTAAAGCTCTGATGAAAAAGCATTTTAGTTGCCTCAATCTCCCACAGACAATAGGGAGCAGAGTGAAAGAGGTTACAATTATTTAGCTTTGTGAACTAGATTTAGAGCAAATTTCAGAAGATTCAGACAAAAGAAATACTTCAGCAAAATTGTCCAGTATACTTTTCTTTGAAGAGATTATACAAGCTGATTTATACATTTGACAGACCAGTGTTATGTAAAATGGCAGGGGAGCTTGCTCTGTTAGTGTGTCACACACAAAGTCTGGCCCATTGATCAGAGAAGGCTGTTGTTAGTGTATGTGTGAGCGTGTGTGCTCTGACCTGTTTGTGCAATGGAGTGTGAGGCCAGCGGATGCTTTTTTGGGGTCACTGCTGGTGTGGGACTAAATGGACCAGTCCAGGAGGCTGGCTTGTCACTAGCAGCCGCCCACTCACTGTCAGTGCTACTGCTGTCACATCACTACTGGGTCATACGGAGCAATCTCTGTGTGGTACAACTTGACTCTGATGGATTGCAACATTTGACCTCTGCTCTCTCTTTGCACAGCTGTAATATTTCTCTGTGCAGGAAATTAGGAAATTTCACATCTCAGCCTGATCACAAGTCACTGAACTTTTTGTTCACTGTAATTGTTTTTAGGTACACAAAAACTGACACATTCATATTCCCAAAGGATGTAAACGGTGTAATTAAGAATTATCATTATTGTTAAGTTTTTGATTCGACATTACAGTGATTGTTACTGACCATACAAGACTGTATCTGTATACAGTTCTGCACTGGTATGCAAAGGAAGACCAAGGAAAAGAAACCATTTGTAAAACTCAGCAGTGAATAAGAAGACACAAATTGAACTTGTGGGCAATACAAAAATAACAAATTGTATGAAGAAGCTTCGATAATCTCAGAAACTCCAAGAGAAGCAACACTGAGGAAAAGACCAGAATCCACAGATCATAACAAAGATGAAAAGGCAAAAAAAGTACTACAGTTCTGGTGCTGTAAACACTGAACATAAGAAGTGATATTCAGGAGAATTAAATTAAATTTGTTTGAAAAATGTTCCTCAATGTCAGAAAACAGGTGGGCTTTCATTGTCAACAACCTGAATATGATGCTTATCATATCAATAGTACCTGAACTTGCAATTACACAAAAAAGAACTCCTGCGAAATAAAGTCTCTTCACATACCTAGAATGCTGTTAAAAACTAGCTGCAGAAAGGTACAAGAAGCTTCTACAAGGCAAGAAATATGTGGTGGTTCGTCATAACTTAAGGTTATGCAGACAAGTACCACGTGAAGAAAAATAACTGTATTTGTCATCTTACGTTTATGATTAAAATGTTTTAATTTTTACATTTTTAGTTGTTATATTAATTCAAATGAAGCCATAACTGCATAAAAGTGACTTATTTTCTCATTGATTTAAAGGTATTCTCAAATATGCCCCCATATAGTTTCCCAGTCAAAGAAATAATCATATAGCACTTCACACAATCAGCCTGTGACTGTTATCACTGATGACAAATAATCTGCCTGTAAATATTTTAAAGGATGTTTTAGTTTTTTGGCCACTTGGGGGAGGCTAAACAATAATCCTGTGATAGTTTTTGAACATGTTGGCAAATAGTTGCTTTTATGTACCCCTCTTGCGG